TGTGTCTATATATATATATATATATATATATATATATATATATATATGTAATAGTCTTTACACTGAAATAATTTGTGATGTAGCAGGAAAAATAGTGCTGGGGTCATGATGATACAACTATATGGCAAGAACTATGAATGATACAAATCAAGCATCATAGATGGGGCCAAGAGCAAGCATAATACATTTAGAGGACAGAGCAGGGTCCTCTCTGAATGGAGCAGAAGATGACTTGATGAGACTGAACTTCTCCTCCCATGATTTGAATCAACCACAGTTTGAAGACAGAGACAAGACTCCTAACAGGCCTGGTGAACTTACTTTCTGAAGCAGTGAGCTGCTGTGAGCAGCCACGTGTTACTGATGAGGCTGGCTCCACACTGATGGCCTGACCCTATGAGCTGGAGGCTGGCCTGCCATGGCCACTCCCCTTCCATAGCTGTTTCCCTTCCATTGACAATTCTTTCCATGGAAGAGGATGCTGGTAATGGCATGTTTGAAGATGTCATCCTTATGCCACAGCCTGTCACAGAAATACTTGTTAGTTTGTTTTCAGAAAAAGAAGGAACAATAGCATATCCTGATTTGCACTGGATAGAGATGGTTAGACAATCCTTTTCACCTAATACTCTAACCTATTCCTAGCATTCAGCCTTTGAGGTTATTTTATATGAATTCTACTAATTCTATTGAGATTCACAAGAAATATTTACTAACATTTCAAGCCTTTCAGTTCAGAAATTCTGTCTCTCTCTATTATAAACTATATATAGGTCAATAAATAGGTAGATACATAATTTATTGAGCATTAAAAATGTATAGATCCTCTGCTAAGTGCTTTATATGTATTTATAGCATTACACTTTTTTTTTTTTCTACTAGAGGGTGCTTGTCATAAGAGAAACAGCATGGGGAGATAAGATAAGAAAACACCCCCTAATGGGGAATGGTCATGAGGAAATCCCTTCTCTCTCTCCCTTCTTTTTGAGATTTTGGAAACACACACACACACACACACACACACACACACACGCCTGACATGTTTCTCAAGCCACTAACCTTGGGACTCAAATGGCCTGGTTGGCCATGTCAGATTTAGCTACCTTACCAGTAGGCCAGGGATGGAGATCAGCAACACACATTTTTTTTTTTTTTGAGAGGCTTTTCGCTATATGGCGTGTGCACTCACCAGACAGAGCGAGAGAGAGACAGCGACAAAAAGCGAGAAGTCACCCCCCAGGGGGGATGGTCACGCCGCAATCCCTTCTCCTCCATTCTCCTCTTGGGATCTTGGGCATGCACGCACACGCGCCCGGCATGAGTTTTAAGCCACCGGGTCCGGGACACGAACCGCAGTCGACTACGTGGGAGTCCAGCAACATAGCCATTATGCTAACTGCAACACACATTTATTTATTCATTTTTTTAGTTTCCTACAGGACCTATGTGTTTGCTGGTGAGAGACAGAGATGGAGAGAGAGGGAAAATGAGAACGTTCCCCAGGGGATGGTGGCCACCCTGCAGGCTCTTATCCTCCATTCTCCTCTAGGGATTTTGGCACGTGCCCACACGCACACCTGGTGTTATTCTAAGGCTGCCAGCTCTGGAATTCAAACTGTATAGCAAGCCATGTGGGATCCAGCTACTTTAACCACTATACCACTAGTTGGCCCTCAGCTATACACTTTTTAAATGAAAAAATTTAAGTCTAGTAAAGGAATAAAAATTGCTGAGTGTCACCTAGCTGGTAAATGACAGAGAAGAATATAAATTAAGAAGATCTACACCAAAGCCAGCAGTATCTATACTAGTGAGAGAGTCTAATACTGAATGTCGATCATGATGTGCCCTTGATATGACTAAGGAGAATCAATTTATCGTCACTGTAAAGTCAAGGCCAGCACATGGCCTGGTTAAGGGAACTAGATCTCACATGGCCAACATCATTTGAGTCCCAGACTCTGTAGCTAGAAAAATTGCTGGGCACGTATATGTGCTCAAAATCCTGAACAGAGAGAAGAAAGGAGAAGGGATTATAGCATGACCAGGCCCTATAGGGGATGCTTTCTCTCTTTCCCGCTCTCTCTCTGTCTCTTGACTGGTACACATGCTCCTCTGGTAAAAATTAAGTTAAAAAATTTTTTTCCTCAAATTGTGAGAGAATATTAAAACATAAATATTTTAAAATAATAATGACATAACATGTAATATAGTATGTAATTTTTTGTGGGGATATTTATTCACACAATTTTGCTTAGTACATTTCTTTCTACGCAAAGAAAAATGTTTTGACCACATCTTGTAGGTCATAAACTTAAACTTGTATTTGATATTTTGTAAATTTTAATATTTTAAAGATTAAAAAATAAGTGTGTATTTTACAAAAATATAAAGTGAACAAAAAAGAAATAAATTGTAAATCTAGGTTTTGTTTGGCTTTTATTCGTTATCATTACTGTACAATAAATAGTTAATTGTAGATTTTGGAACTTACGATTGTTAAGAAGATCCCTCATCTTTTTGCTGTTAATAGCTGGAATAAGCAAAACACAAATCAATTGGCAGAAGAATAAATTCCCATTTTCATGTTATTCTGTTCAAATAATCACTAATAGAAATGCTGGTTATCTAAAGAGAGCATGAAGTTTTTCATAATCAAGTAATCAACACACTACTCTGATTTAGTTTTGGTCCAAATTGTATAATTACACTTTAAAATAAAACCAGAGAGCATTTTATTTTCTGATTTTGCTTCAGAAAAAGAAAGGAAAGGAAAGGAAAGGAAAGGAAAGGAAAGGAAAGGAAGAAAATAGTAGATTAGGAAATAATGAATAAAGATGAATATCCCAGACTGCTTTCTTGGGGGCACCAATACTATTCAAGGAAGCAACCTCCAATTACCATCACAGCTGGCCTTTACTAGCCTATGTAGCACATTCCTCATGGTTGTCATTGAAAGAGCAGTTCCAGGGAGCTAGAGGCATCACTAAGGGACCAATTTCAAAACCCTAGTCAAAGACTAGGAATTTAGTGATTGTAGGTTGATTACCTTCTCTCACTGAGAGTTTCCTTGATAGCGAATACCTTGCAAAGTTGTGGCTCAGGCAACAGGCATTAAAATTGACACTCCTCTACATACAGCCAGTCCAGACCCCACTCATAAACAAACTCTCAGTTCACTTTGTGTTTCCCTTCTGTGATATCATCTTTCCTTCAAATTCATATTCATTTTAACTCAGCTACATTGGATTTTTCTTGGTGTAGTGATTGTTTTATTTATTTCTCAGAGAGATAATGAAGAATTGTACAGTAATTATTTCCCTCAGGAACAATGAGGCACACTCTCCCCACTCTTACTGTGTTAAATCAGAAGTAACTAAACTTAGAAATGCATAATGAGAAACAATGAACAGAGCAGGAATTGCATACCTATTGCATGTGAGTTGTATCCTAGAGTATAAGGGCAGAAATAAAATAAATAAGAATATAAAAAATACAATTCCTGTGTTTGACACTTAAAATCTAATTTGAGGGGCTGAGAGGTGGCATTGTGGTTGAAGGCGCTGGACTCCCACATGGCCAACGGCAGTTTGAGTCCCGGACCTGGTGGCTGGCATTCTTGCTTTCTCTACCTCTCTCTTTCACTCTGTTCCTCTTTGGTCAAATTGAAATAAGTAAATAAATAAAGTTAAATTTAAAAAATTTTTTAAAAAGTATAATTTGAAACACATTTTACGTTCTATAGTTAAGTGTTGGCATAGAAAATTAGAACTGCTTCTCAGCTTGGATTTCAGCTAGCTATAAGGTAGTTTCAGTTTCATAAACTCTTTGAACTTCCTTTACTTTTACTTTGAAAAGGAGAAAAACAAGAACCTTCCTGATTTTATTAGGAATAAATAAAGAAATGAATGAAAAATAATTTTTAGTTGAAATTAAGTACTTTATAATTCATGTTGGTGGTTCTTCCTAAACTTTTATAGAAATGGCTATTTCTTTGATATTATAAAAACTAACTCTTAGAGTGAACCTGTACAGACCACTGAAGTCATGATACCTGCATCTAATTCTATCTACTGACAAGGTCTCCTGATCTCTTGTCTCACATTTTTCATTGCATCTCAGTTTTTTTAACTTAGTTTTAGATGCTTGTATAAGGATTCAACATCATACTTTATGCAGAAAACTTTAGAAACCTAAGCAAAAACCTAATGAAATAGGGAAAAAACAGTAATCCAATTTTTGCAATTTTGCCTCATAATGATGTTTCTAAGTGGCAAATTCTTGAAATGAGAGAATACATTGACCAAATTGTTATGTACAATAAGGGAATTGCGAGGGGAGGAAACCATAAAAAGTAAAAAACAAAACAAAACAAAAAAAAAACTTACGTGTGAGACTAAATGATGATTTGTATATAGTCAAAGGCAACTGTTTGATCTTCAGACTTTGATATAAAATTCTTTCAATTTTTTTTTTGATTCGTTCAGCACTGTCAGTAGATGGGTATCGGAACATAAGCACCATAAGAACATTCACACCTTTTTCGTCTGGACTAAAGAGAGAAAGAGAGAAAAAAAAAATAAAGACAAATAATGCCCTTTCTATAATCATTATCTATTTTTGCCTACTAGGGCACACATAAAAGAAACATAATGGGTGATAAATATATATACAGATTTTCTAATTATCTCTAAATACAAGGAACAGGTGTGGTTGTATAATAATCAGGAAGTGTTGGAAACAACATGGAAGAAATAAAGGCAACATGCTAGAAATACTGGATGAGATACATACCTAAGAAACATGGTTCTCTGCACTTTCGTACTTTTTTTTAAGAGGCTTTTGCTATGACTGAGAATAGTTGACAAAAGGATATAGAAACACAGTATATAGATGCAAATACCAGATATAGTGAATGTGAAAGAGGAGGGTCTGAGGAAGAACATTTAGAAGAAAAATAGGGAGACAAAGCATTAATGGCACAAAGAAATGTGGCATTATCTGTTGAAGATATTTTGTAGTTTTATCAAATATACTAGGGAGTAATGTTCACCTGTTGTAATATCCAAATAATAATGTGACTGAATGTATAAAAGAAAATAAAAGAGGCTTTTGCTTTAAGTTGCATTTACTTGCCCAAGAGAGACACAGAGACAGTGAGAGGGAAAGTGAGACATGACTCCCCAGAGAGGATGGCCATGCAACAATCCCTTCTCCTCCATTCTCCTCCTGGGATTTTGGGCACACATGCACAGGCACCTGGCATGAGTTTCTAGCCACAGGGCTTGGGACTTGAACCACGGTTGCCATGTGGGAGTCCAGCAATGTAAGTGCTACACCACCTGCTGGCCGTGGTTCTCTGCACTTCCTAGATATAGTTTAGAGAGATTTGTGGGAGGAGATATTTAAGAGATCAGACTTTAAATGTACTTAAAATGTTCTATTTTTGAGGTATTTTGAGTAAAAGTTATGATCGATGTCATTATTTCCAGTGTTGGTGCAACAGAGACAATGCTTTGTATTTACCAGATGCAGTTTCCTTTCCTCCTAAGCAGAGAGCTAAATTCCATTTCCTGGTCACTCTTGAAGTTTGTTGAAACTCTTTCATGAATTCTGGCCAATGGGATATGGGCAAAAATGATGCTCCGCCACCTCCCCACTTCCATGTTTAGCTCTTAAAAACACTTCCCATACTATTTTCCACGTTCTCGTTCTTCCCTTTCTGCCAACCACATACAGAGCTAGTGGACAATTCCATTCCATAGTCCACACCAGCACCTCCACTCCTTGTCTCTACTTCTGACTCATTGGACTGTATTTTGGAAATGAAATAAACCTTTATTGTACTAAAATACTGATATTTTCACATTTGTTGAATAATAAATGAATAATTAGAGAAAGTTATAAAAGGAAATCATTTGATAAATCATTCAAATCTATACATTTATATTGTGATGTATAGGACTAGAAGGTCTCTAGTAGCCTTTTGACTATGAATGTAATTGGAAAGGTAGAATAAAAGGAAAGATGAAAGAAGTAAGAGAGAGGGAAAGGGGATGAGAGAGGGGAGAAAGAAGGAAAGAAAAGAATGAAAGAATGAAGGGCAAGAGGAAAAAAATGCATGAGTTCTTTAATCATTTAGCCATGTGTATATTTACCACAAACTAACAAATACTACAAATAATGAAATTACCTTGGAATCTAGGACTTTTAGAGGCTATTAAAAAAAAAAAAACTTTCAGTATGAATCCTAGTTTAAATTTAGTCTCTAATGATAACTTTATGTTTAAATTATGTATATTACCTTTCACCTTAAAATAAAAAGGCATTTTTAAATAATGATAAAAGTTTACTGGCATTAATGAAAAGTGTATTTCAGGGAAAGGCATAGTCTGATGGCTGAGTAGGTTTAAATGAGGAAAATAAAACAGTTCGACTTAGCCCCTAACTTAAGGGGTACAGGGTGTTAGCAAAACCAATCCTTCCCTTTTTTTTCCCTCACTCTTTTTTTTTTTTCCTGTTTAATAACTGAGACTCCTTTGTCATAGAGCACTTTACACCTTTCTATTGCAATTGGGAAATGATTAGTTAGTATAATCTGAGTTGCACAAAATTTATGGAATCTGTATTGCTGAAGAGATTTACTCAGGGCAGCTGAGCAATTATATTGATCAAATGCCTCATCTTAACAGTTTTAGTTTGGAGTTACAAACCAAGTTTACATACCTTATTTTGATAACATGAGATTTGACAAATCGACCCCCTCCAGAAGGACGTCGAAATATCTTAGACATCTAATTAAAAGAAAAAAAAAAGTATTAGTCTTAAGGAAAAGATGTTACACCTTTTTTTATTTCAAGACTTGAGGTAAAGACAGGTTTCAGCTTATTCTCCGCCATGTAACCTAATTTATTAACACTGATAAGAGTAAATCCAGGTTCTAATCCTTGTATGATACCTTTTCTTATTTCAAGACTTGAGGCAAAGACAAGGTTTTCAACTTCTTCTCAGCCATGTGACATGATTTAGTCACAGTAATTGGAGTAAATCCAGGTTCTAATCCTTGTAGAACTGAACAACTTTACTAATTGTTTAACTGCTAAGTCTTTGTAAAATGGGATGACAATATCTGCTTCATACAGTTGGTTCAAGAATTAAATGAAATTATATCACACATTTCACAACTTGCCTGGTATCTAATAAATTATTGATAATATTAGTATTAATCATTGACTAGTATATTAAAATATGTTGGCTATTTTTAAGGTTGTGTCCTTATTTTTAAGAAAGCCCTCCCTGTGTGGTGCACTCGCTGCTGAATATAGCATCTTAATCTACTCTAGATACCAATTTGTGGATTTCTTAAGTGATTGTACCATCATGAGTCTACTTGACCTAACTTGTAACATCTATCACGTGACTCCAACACTTTGCTCGTTAGTCATCTCTCTGTGGCATGTAGGATTGCACGACTGGTACTTGGGTTGGGAATAAACGTCACCACACTCCATTCCATCAGCATTTTATTACTCAGCTTTTCTTGTATGAACCATGAAAGGATTTTGGATGTTCACTGAACTGATTTTCTAAAGGGTCCTAATTTCAGAAAGGGAGCTCAGCTGACTGCTAAGACACTACCTTAGAGGGGAAAAAATTACATACACACACACACACACACACACACACACACACACACACACATATATATATATATGTGAAGAAGAAGTCAAAACTACAGATCCCAGAGCTAGCAGGTGGCATGGTGGTTAAAATGTTAGAATTCCCGCATGACTTAGTCAGTTTGAGGGTTCGAGTCCTGGACTGGCAGCTTGCTTGCTCACTTTCTCTCTCACTCTG